CTCACATTCATAATTTTGAACTTTTATTTTAAATTTTACAAAAATTAACAAAAAATATGAAAATTACTTCTTGACTGCCTGGAATACCTAAGTGCTAATTATTTTTAAATAATTATGAAGAAAATTGAACAAAATTTTGTGATAAGTTTGAAAGATGGAAAAACATATAGATCCAAATTTATAAATATAAAATACAACATTTAATCAATTAAAGAAGTTTTTAGTCAGTAATTCTGATTTAAATAGTAATTCATGCATTCTTAAATAGTATTTGTTATTTTAAAATCATATTAAATTTTTCAGTATTGACCCTCCCCCCTCACGTTCTGGATTAGCATAACTAAAAATTACCGTCCCGGTTTTAACTTAAAAAAATATGGTCACTTTAGTTTCATAAAAGGATTGATAGATCAAATATTAAATTAAAATGATTAGATTTTGTGCAAGTGAACTTAATTATAAATACCCTAGAATAAAAGGCTACGAAATGGGTTTATAAGTAAATAATTTTTTTATAAGTAGCATAGGCTAAAGTGTATTAATTTTTTTTTCTGCTGCTTGAAATCAACTTGCTAGGTCCAGACCAAGAGATGCATGCTTTTAACTTTTTAATACTTCTATTGAAAGCTTTTATATTGCAAGTACTAAAAAAGATGAAAATAATTTGATGCACATTGCGATTATCATTTATTCGATGAAGAAGTCACCCTTTTTATCTAGTGATCCGAGGAATTTTATCATTTTGTTCTATGCTTATTGATTCTCCTCAGAGTCTATTTCAGTAGTTTGTATTTTTTTGTTATTTTGAATATGTTATTAATCAATTTTCAAGCTTTCATTATAATGTGTATCAATAGAAACGCTGTGGTACAAACCGCTATGAATGAATTTGTATTCAACAGAATCCCTTGTTGATGTTTTGATTTACATAACCATGCATTTGCAGGAGACATAAGCTTTTGTCATTGTAGAATGATTTATCCCGATTAAATCATAAATTTAAGGAAAAGCAAATATGGAAAAAACGTGTGCATGAAATAAAACGATAATTTGATAGACATCAACTTATATGAAAAATCATTTATCACACAAAAAAGTTTTATTATTTTAAAATTATCATTTTTGGGCTACTATACAATAATAAGTCTAATGTGGTTTGATAGTATTTGTTTTTCTAAAATGATGGGTGCGTTCGACTTGGACGCTTACGCGCTGTGAGCGCGCCGTGAGCGCGCTTTCATCGTTCGACTTGGCGCTGTGAGTTTCACATAAGTACGCTCGTAGCACCATCGTAGGATGCTCGTAGCACAAATTTTGCGCTCACATACGCTCACGCCACAGAGGTAGGGCAGCGTGAGCGTGAGCGTCAGTTGTTTTTACTATTTGTCATTTCATTTGTTTATTAATTGTCAAATTCTTTATAATTCCGCAAAAACGGCAAGCTGTAGATCACAATTATTTTTTAATATTAATATTGATATTAATTAATTTTAAATTTAATTAATTTTAAATAATTTTAAATTTCAATTTTAATATTACTATTAATTAAGCATAAGCTAACCAAATTTCATTTATTCATTAATTGTTAAATTCTTTATAATCCCGCAAAATTGCCAAGTTGTATATCACAATTATATTTTAATATTGATATTAATATTAATTAATTTTAAATTTAATTAATTTTAAATAATTTTAAATTTTAATTTTAATTTAATTAATCTTAAATAATTTTAAATTAAATTTTAATATTACTATTAATTAAGCATAAGCTAACCAAATTTCATTTATTTATTAATTGTTTAAATTCTTTATAATCCCGCAAAAATGCCAAGTTGTATATCACATTATTTTTTAATATTAATATTAATATTAATTAATTTTAAATTTAATTAATTTTAAATAATTTTAAATTTTAATTTTAATATTAATATGAATTAAGCATAAGCAAACCAAATTTCATTTATTTATTAATAGTTAAATTCCTTATAATCCCGCTGAATGATCCAGAAAGTAATAAAATTTACACAATTATCGTTACCGCCAGTTGCCGCCATTTTGATGCTTATTGACGCTCACAGTTTCCAAAACGAACGGAATTTAGTTATCGATTCTGAGCGCTTATCGGCCAAGTCGAACGCTAAAAATTCGTGCTTATAAGCGTGAGCGCTCACAGCGCGTAAGCGTCCAAGTCGAATGCACCCGATATATTTAGTAATGAATATATATTATTCAAATCAATAGCATATATTGTCATCAAACTTTTGTTTTGCATTACTCAAAATTGATTATATTGAGCTATTTCATTATTGGATAGTTATCATTACTTGCGTGTCGATTATTGTTTGTCAAAGATTTAAATAATAGTGTTTTTCAACTTTCTTAATATTATCGATAAAGAACATTTTTTTCATATTTTTGCGTTTTAGGGGTTTCTGAGCATTTTGGCACACTTTAGAAAAAATGGATATGTGCCTGTGTGCGTGCGTGCAAATTTTCGTCCACGATTTCGAGAGCACGGATCGACTTAAGGGGGTATTCTACTGTAGAAGCATGAATTTTGCCCGGTTTTTGAAGCGCTGTATAAAGGTAACAAATAATATTTTTACTATCGATTTTTTATCATTTGTTTATTGATATTTTATTATTACATAAAAAAAAATATTAAAGAAAAAAAATTAGAATTCACAAAGTTATGAGCAGTCAAAGTGGGGGCTCAAAAAAAAAGAGGGTGTCCTGGCGTGCATGATTCCAACCCTCCTGGTGATCCGAAACATAAAAAATAGATGGATTCTTAATTATTATAGATGCCGCTATTGTATGAACCTTGGATAAGTTAAAAAAGAATTGTTTGAATGGCGGCAGTTTGAAAAAAAAAATTGTTAATGTTTCTTTTTAACAATTCCGAATTTTTTAAAAATACTAAATGAAAAGTTATAGTTTTGGGAAAGGTTCATGCGATAAAGCGATGTATAGAGAAGATCCTCTCCAAATTTCAAATAAATCGGTTCATTAGAACTCGAGATATCCTTACCGCCAGCTCGAAAAAAGTAGTTCCGAGAAAAACGCGTTCAAAGTTTTGATACTCGGTCGGACCCGAACCTAGGCCACGTCACTAAAACGGATATAACTCAGGAAATAATAGTAATTTTGAAAAATACTTTTAATGACATATTTCTGAATAACTAAACTTTGAAAAAATGAAAAAAAAAATTGCCATTTTTTCCAAATTCTACAGTAGAATACCCCCTTAAATGGTTTAAAAAATATTCGTTCCTATAGACAGGGAGACGTGCTGATTAGTTTCTGGTAAAGGCAGGGCTAGCTGTTTTGAAAGTATGAGACAAAAAGTGTAAACAATAATAATTCAGATTTTGAGAGAACGGAGTGTCCGATTTGAATGGTTCAAAAATTAAATTGATTAAATTTATAGTAAGGCAGGTCTAGCGGATCCAATAAAAACTTCAAAATCAAAAATGTTAAAAAAATCAAAGTATTCAAAAAAATTCAAAAAAATATTTTTTTCAAAATTAAAAAAAAAATTCAAGTTTCTAAAAATTTGAAACTACGTTACGGAAAGCTCCAGCCATTTGCCTTAAGGTGTCCCGGTTTGGCCGGGACAGTCCCGGATTTACACCTTGAGTTTCGGGTTTTTCTAAAAACAATATTTGTCTCGGATTTGGATGTTATGTCCCAAAATGCCCCATAAAATTACTTGAAAAGTACTTGATAATAAAAATACAACTACTTATCAAATATCTGTAAATGATATGTATTATATTACAATACGACGAGTATGCTTATGAATCAATACATTATGATGTGACATTCATAGGATGAGTGTGAAAATAGCAGAATACAAAATTCCACAGACGAGTTAAAATACCTTTCACATTAATAAATTCCAACTTTTATACTCAATTTCATAAAAATTAACTAAAATTATGAAAACGAACGAACAAGTGCTACTTGTTTCAAGTTAGTTATGAAAAAATTATACACAAGAAGAAAAAATTAGACTAAAGCGAAAAAAACATATATCCGATATATAATATCGAAAATATAAAATGTAATAATATCATAGATAAAAAAGAGTACCACATAAAATCAAATAATGAAGTTTTTACTAAAACTCTGCAATTCTAATTAAAAGAATAGATTCATTTTGAAAAGTACTTGAAAGTACTGTTGTTTTTATTGTATCTTCAAATAGCATCTATTGTTTTAAAATCATATTTGAGATATTTAGCTAAAAGACCTTGCCGTCCCGGTTTTGAATTAAAAAAATATGGTCACCTTACTTAAGGTACGATGCCATGAAACTCTAGTTACTCTAGTTACACTAGTCTAGTATATTTGTGTTATATAGGTACCGCGACTCCATTCCCGTATACAAGGCAAATGCAATGTACGCGCCGCTAATGCACTCTGAAACACATAAAGCAAGTTATATCGGGGACAATAGAGAATAGAGACCAAAACACACAATTCCAACATAATACACAATTCCTCTCATCTGGTTAGTAGTTCTCTGTTCTTCGTGCGTTCCACCACAATGCGAATAAGCATTCGCAAAACTAAGGGATGATTTAGATGCTGACAACAACGCCCACCGAACACTCGCCAAGTTGACTATAAAAAATATAATGTGTAATAAAATTATTCACATTATGAGTTGTTTTCACATGAATAGAATTTTTATCTGAAAAGGATACATTATGTAATCTCTAAATTTTTAACTCAAAATTGTTTGTTG